TCCCGCGGCCCCGGGCGCACCGCCCTGCCCTGCCCTGCCCTGCCCGGCTCCTGCCTGCACACCCTCCCCGCTTCAGTCCCCTGCCCACGGCTCTGAAACCGGGGCAGGCAGAACAAAATGAACCAGGCTTTACCCCTCCCCGAAAGCAAACTCCTTCCCCTCCAAAAAGCAAGGAGCTGGACTGCTGTCAGTGGCGGCAGGGGACGCGACAAGGGGCACCGCCGGCTCCAGTTGCAGCAGGGGACAAACTCCCCGGTGAGGAGGGTAGAAAAGCCCTGGAAGAGGCTCCCGGGGTGGGGAGCAGGTGGGCTCTCCAACCTCGCAGGGGTTTAAGCCCCCCGGGGGAGATAAAGTCCTGGCTGGGGTGAGAGAGTTGGGGCCAGTCTTGCTTTGAGCAGCGGGTTGCACTGCATCACTGTTTGGCAGCCCGTGGGGTTGCAATGAAAAGTCACAATATATGAAAGGGTTGCAAAAAAATGGATCGGCAAACTTTAAAGAAATGCCAAAATCTAGAACTCGTGGTTCAGAAAGGACACCTTTGATTAGACCGACCGAGAAATTGCAAAAAAAAAGATCTTTTTCTGCGAGCTTTCGAGCTCACATTCCCATCATCGGGTTAAAAGATGGTAAAAAGGCCTGATAAGTAGGAAAGAAACTTCTGTTTTGCAGGGAGGAAGCAGAAGCTGTCTCTCTGGGTCCGTGAGAGGTGGCTTTGTGAGGTTGCTCTTTGTTGCACAGATCAAGCAGGGTTTCTTCAGCAAACTGAAAAAATGGATTCTCCTTTAAAGAAGAAAAATGTGGGAAACCCTGGGTTTGCCCTTGCAAGCGGGCAGAGTTTTAGCCTGCAAGGGGCTGCTTGGGTCCCGCCTTGCCCCATAAACTGAGGGCCTGGGGGTGCGGGGCAGCAGGTGGGGAGCGAGGGGCACTGGGTCGGGACTGGCCATCGATGTTTACAGACAGGTCCTGGTCCAAAAAAACCACTGGACTACCTGACCTCCTGAGGTCCCTTTCCACCCTCATTTTGTATGATCACACCCAACTGGATGCCCACCCAACACAGCTCCACCCCATCACTCCTAAAGTGATTTAAATTAGCTTGAGTCTTTGAAAATCTTCTGAGAAATAAATTAACTCCAACTTCATTTGAGGTTCCGTACATTTTTTCCTCTTTATGTCACTTTTTTTCCCCCTCCTGGCCTCTTTGTTCTACCTGCTCCGTTTCAGGTTGACAGAGACACCCACAAAGTCAAATTAAGTCTCTTTGAGCTGTCAGCTTTGATGCCTGTATGTTTGCTTTTAATACCTCCATTTATTGTAGGTGCTGTTTTCCCCCGGTGTTTATGTATGGCTCCACCAACCTGCCGATCACACATCTGTCAACCACCTTGTTAAAGACTCTGCCCAGGAAAATAAAAAAAAGGAAGAAAAAAGAATTTGCTGAATGATTTGACTTCTCATTTTAATGTTGTATTTTGCTGCTGACCTTCCCATGTTTCCAGCCCCCCACCCCAGCTTTGTCTAATTAAATGAGCAATAATAATAAAAAAAACTATTCACAGACATTGACTGATAAATCTACAACCTATGGAGTCAGTAGTAAGACGACAAGGTTCTTTAGGTAAATGTGATATCTTTTATTACACCGAGGAAATAGTTGGGGAAATTGTTCTTTGCAAGTTTGGGGGTACAAAAGTATCAGTAGTGGTACTCATGGGGATTATTACCATTGGGGCTAAAAGGTTTTAGCATAGGTATAATGAAAAGGTGTAGATATATTAGCAAACCCAGGCTGCCCCCACCTCAGGCAAACATTGGTAGGCAAGATTAGTTTTGGACATAAAGTGAATAAAGTAAGCTTCAGGAAAAGATGTTAGAAATTGATAGTCTGATTTTTCTTTTTTTTAATTTTATTTTCCCCTCTATGCAAAGGAGTTGAATGCAAAAATCTTCACTACTTGAGTGTTACGAGTGATATTGTATTCACTAAACACAAACAGCTAAGCACTTCACACTTATCACCGCCACTCAGCCAGCCAACTGGTGGCTACACGGTGGCCTAAATTTCACCATATGCAGAAGGGGGATGGGGGTATTGTGCAAGGGAATGGAATGATGTTTGCTTGGAAAAAAATCAGGAAGCTGAGTGTCTGGATTTGTATTCGGTTATGACCTAGCTCACAGAAGGAAATAGAAGTCTTTCCAGAGGATCAGTGTCTGCCCCCTCCTCCTTTCTTCCATTTACAGTCAATGTTGGCTTGCTGTTTGGTAGTGTATTCTGTCTAACGGCAGTAAAAGTGCTGTATTTACAGCATGGTGCTTTCCAAAGCAGCTTGGAGCTCAGATAATGGACCTCCATTTCCATATGCAAACTAATGTGAAAGGCGGTATCAGTAAAAGAATCTCCTCTAATAGGGTGGTGAATCCATTTTTACTCATATCAGCCTGGGGGGCAGATAGCTGACCATGCCTGTTACCCAGAGCCATCCTCACAAAGGCAGAAGTAACCAGTAGTGTGTGGATCCTGTACCTAGGCTGGTTAGGCCTGCTGTGCTTACTCAGTTTCCTTGAGAAGGACCATTTGATCGCTTCTCCAGGCGTTAATATGGAAAACAGAAAGATGCTTTAATATTTTTGCATGGCCTTTATATATAGTATTTTTCCTTTGTGTAAAAAAACAGATGGAAAGTAACATGCATGCTTCAGCTAAATATTCGTTTTCCAATTCCAAAACAAAAATATCATAAATAAGAAGATATAACACTAACGACTACCTTTATTTCTCGAAGCCAATATATCCTTGAGAAGTGGTGCATGCCATCATGCTTCAGACTTCATTGGAGAATGACACTAAACACGTGTTACATGCACTCAAGTCACTCCTCATATGGAAGGAAAACAGTAATATGAATAGCTCTACACAATTGGCTCTTCCTCCTGTGAAGTTCTCCACTGAAAATGAAAGTATGTGCTTTAACATGAAGTGTGTACTTTAAGTGGACACTTAAATCTGGGGTCTTCATTTCATAGGAAGCACCTAAATAAAACTGGACAATTGGCTTTCTGACAAAATTCATTACATACAAAAACCACACATTAAATGCATATTATCACCCCCAATCAACTGCAGAATAAAGGGTTATTTATTTCAGGTTTTCACCAATGAATCTGAGAGTTCTCAAAGATATAGCTAGATCTGGCTATTTTAACAGCTAGCTTATTGCAAAAAGTTCATTTTCTAAGTCTTATGGAAGGGATAGACAATGCGAGTGCTAGGTCCTTGAGACAAAAGAACTGCTAGGGAATGGGTCCCTTGGAGAAAGAAACATTTTGTTCATAATTGCCAATATATATGCAACTGCCATATATAGTTGGTATAGAAAGTTATGTATTATGTTTCTCAGTGCAAATAACTTCAGAGACATTTGGGCATGGTTGTATATAGGTATAGAGTGAGTGGAATGCACTTGGGTACCAGCTGGATAGAAACACAATTTGATATCATCCCAGAAGTAATGTCCTATGTAAAAACATTACTGAGAATCACAGTGTTAGAGAAGTTAAATGGCATGGTTAAGTGACATCATGCCCGAAACAAATGTTTCACAGCAACAACAGTAGTTTTGAAAATGGTATTTCAGCTCAGCATTTCAGAATATCTACCAGAATATGCAAATCTGGCAAGCAGCCACTGATGTGCAGAAAATAGTTTCATTACAATGGCCCATCCATTGCAATTTGTATGAATATTATTGCTCTTCTTAATATTATAGAAATGCCTAATTATGGTAGCAACTGTTTAGTAGTCATAGGAAAAGTATTTATCCTTAAAGGGAAAGAACCACAGATGAAGGAAGAGGACAGGATCTACAAAGTTAAGCAAATGGACGGGGTGATGCACATCTTATTAGTTCCTTGTTTAAGCAAATGTGGACAAGTATAAAACATTAATCTTTAGATTTTAAAGGAGAAAGAAGGGCCTTGATTTTAGGACTAAAAGAAAATTACAATAAGACAGTGAAAAATATTTATTTTACTGCTTTATAATGAGAATGTGAGTGAAGCCAAGGGAATTAAAGGCAGCAAATTTAGGACAAATAGAAGGAAATACCACTTTAGGCAGTTAGCATCAACCTTTGGAATTGCATCTTGTGAGGTCACAGAGTCAAATTTTGTGGCTTTTTAAAACTACCATTGTTTTTAAAGGATGGGCAATTTTATGACTGCTAATAACATTTGTAACCATGCAAGCTAAGATAATAACAAGTGTAATCAAATCTCATGCTTCAGGGCATAAATTGATTGCTTGAGGGGGTTGTGAATGATTTTATTTTTTTTTTAACCACTGAATAAACCATTTCACAATTGACTAGGTGCATTACCCAGGGTTTTGCTACTGTAGGTATAGCAGTGGTCTGATTTGGCTTGACAAAAATGGCGGGCCTCCCGAAGCTAAAACCTGAAGTTCTCTTCCTACCATTACTTACAAAAATGCCATTAACTTGAACTCTTTTTCATTTAAAAAATGGGTTAAAAAAGTTTTTTTATGAGAGTGGTATCACCTATACCTGACTATATATGCCAATTTGCAATATTTTCTACTTTTAAAATAAGAAGCACTTCCCCACATATCCTCATGAAATACGTCTTTTTTTTCCCACCTAAGACAAAAGAAAACACCAAAAGCTGGATCCCAAAAAATGGGACTCAGAAACCTACCTCAAGGGTGGGATCCAGACCCTGGATTTCGCTGGGATCCAGTACCTTGCTGGGGTCACCTGACCCCAGTTGTCTTTCCTGCTTGGGGCAGGGGCCTGGACCCGATGATCTTCAAGGTCCCTTCCGGCTTTACCATCTATGAATCTATGAAAGCACCCGAAACTGTCATAACTGGTGTTTGAGGAGAGCGGCTAAGGAAGTAGCCAACCTATAAAATAGTAAAGACAAGGGGTGGGCGGTGTGTCTT